TGCCCTGGACCAATAGCAGCCAGGCAGGGGCTGAGAAGCCAGCTGACAGGAAGCCCCAGCACATATGGGCAATCAGGTAACCAGAATCACTGGGAGTAATGGAGAAGGAAACTATATTAACATCTACAGCAGCAGCCAAGAGGGTGCCTACCCTGCCCTGCTCAGAGCTTCCTCCCCTCTGAAGGGGAGCTGGCAGCCCAGACCTGACCCACAGTGGCCCTTGAGGAGGCTCCTGACTGAAGGAGGCAGGAGGAAGAGGGAGGAGGGGAGATCAGTTGGTTCTAAAGATGAAAAAAAGTTTTTCTCGGAAGTGTCTCAGAGAACCCCGGAATGCCTGAGGTGGTAAAGTGCAAATGGGGACTAGGGGGCAGAGAGAAGCAGACCCCTGCCCAGGTCTCCTTTGACAATCAACCCACAGTTTTGCCACCACGTCCCCTCCACCCCGCTCCCCTCCCAGGGCAGGTGTTCTAGCTGATGCCTGGGACTTGAGTCATAAGACAGAGCTGAGGAGATGGGAGGGTCCCAGAGAGCTCAGGGCTGGGCTTCAGGAATCCTGGGATCTTCTGGCTTCTCTCAGCTCCTCTCAAGAAAATGCAGAGTCACCAGCCTCCTCCCATCTGTGTCAGTGGGGACCACCAGCTCCAGTGCACTCTGAGCCCTAAAGATCCGGATTTGAACATCAGCTCCATACACTTGCCAGCTCTTCTCTTTTGAGCCTCAGCTTCTACATTTATGAAAAGGGGTACTAATCCCCATCTTAGAGAATATAGAGGATTTGACAGGATTGTATTATTCCCATTTATAGATGAGGAAACTAAGGTTTATAGAGTTTAAGCAACTTGCCCAAGATAACACAGCTAAAAAATAAAATTGGGCAAAATCAGTTTAGAACCCAAGTCTATGTGACTCAAAATTGTTTTATGTATCTCCTTTTGCTAGGAGACAGAAGATTTCTGTTTGAAGTACTGCTTATGCAAGTATTTGGAGGCAACTGATTTAGTTTCTGAAAGGAGTAAAGGGCTAGACCCAGAGGACAGTACATCCCAACTGGACAGAAGTCACTTGGAATGGCCAGAGTGCCTTGGGGTGGAAGAACTAAGGACACTCTTGACCCCCATCGGTAGCCTCTTAGGAGGAGCAGCCTTATCTCCCAGGTGCCCTTCCTACATACCCTACCCAAAGCCCCACTCCCTGCCTGTGGCTTTTTTAAATGGAATTGACCCCAATGCTCTGGAAGAAGAGATGGGAGTGTCCCAGCATGTGTTCGCAAGGACATTCCTGCAACTGTATATAGTCGTATATATGCCCGTTAAGAAGCTCTATGTGTGTTCTCACTGTGTGCATGGAAACACACTTGTATTTGTGTGTGAACTAGATGGGGACTGGTCTGCATCTGGCCTCATCTTGAAGATGTGTATGGTCATTTAAGCTGTATGTGCTACTGAGTGAGTGTGGGCATATGGTGTGTCCAAATATTTCCTGAGTGTGTTTGTGACCATTTGTGGGGTGGTAAGTCCCAGCCCCGTGTGCAAAGGGGACTGGCTGTTTATGTGCAGGGGCGTTTATATGGCTGAGCCTGCAGTGGGTCTGTAGGCTCAGCTGTGTGTACTGTATATGGAGGTACCTGTAGCTAGGCTAGGGCAGCGTACGGGTACCACTTCATAGGGAGCTGCAAAGAATGAGGAAAAGAGTACCAGGTGTCTTTTGCGACCTGAAAGAAGCCCCTTTTCACTAAATCTGTTTCCCTTTTGATAATTAACTAGATTACCCTTGAAATTATCCTTGGAATTGAGGCCCCTGTGGTGAGGTGGTGAGGAGACCTAAAAGAGCAGTTAGAAATGGAAGAGGGGCTATCATTAGCCAGGAAGGGCCAAGGTGAGGGTGGCCACTCAAGCAGTTCCAGGGAAGTCTCCGCAGAAACACAGCCCCAGCCCCAGCCCCAGGCTAGGTCTGCACTGCACAAGAAACACCTCTTAGTCCTCTTGAGCTTCTGAAACCCAGTTCTCTGCTGGTAAGTCCCCTGGAGACCGGGACAAGGTGCCCAGAAGACTACCAAACAGTCATGCCAGCGGTGAGACGCCTGCCTCCTTGGTGCCTGAGGTTTAGCGCGCCTGGTAGCGCAGAGCCCTGGCACCTCCTTTCTTTGCTGAGAGTTCCCAGAACTGGAATCAGAGGTCTGGAGAGGTGACCCGGTAAAGTATGGACTGGGACGCCAAGGAAGCTCTCTAGACCCACGATAATTCTAGTAAAGAGCTGTAAGATCAACACCCAGTGATGCCTTGGCTCCAGACTGAGACCTAAGTCAGACTCCCCTCTGAGCCGCGGCTTCCTCCTCTGTCAAACCGGACGGCTCTGGGGATCCTTGCCTGGTTTGCTGAGAGGTTTAGAAACCCGCCCTACCTGGGCCCCACGCGCTCCAGGCACGCAGCAGGCTCGCAGCCCGCACTCTCAGTAAAGGCTGGCTATGTTAGTAAGTCTCCTCT